TGTGTGTGTGTGTGTGTGTGTGTGTGTGTGTAGTTTGATATAATTCTCCCCAAACGACTTCTATTCCCTTCTGCTCTGGTCCCGTGTGTTCTCTGTGTAGCCACTGCACCTGTAAGCACAGTATGATGCTTACTTACATAGGCATGAGTAGGGAACCGTTTACTTCAGCAAGGTTACCATAGCAGTAGGCAGACTATGAACCCCTAAAACCATCAACTGCCTGTCAGAGGTCAAGACACTTGTAAGGGAAATTTCAAAGACCCATTCTGATGCTACTCAAAGGGTCTGCACATTTTCCACAGCACCTGCTACTCTCGTAGTAAGAGTAATTAACCCCAAGAAATCAGACAAAAGGAAACACGTCATCACAGAAAATAGCACACATCACAGACGTCATCACAGAAAATACCACATGTAACAGCAATTTAACAACGTAGCCCCACACCCCGCCTACATTCAAGTCTTTCAAGAGAAATATGTAGCTGACACTACTTTGAAAATGGCCTCTGTCTGGTGACAAAGTCAGCTGCCTGGTGAAGGTCAGCATACAGGCTTACCAGGTCACACTTACCAAACTGCACACAGGGTGTGTCTTCCCAAACTTGGTTTCACAGAGTTCACCTAGTGCCTAGAGAGAAGACAGGATAGAATCACCGGGATACGTTCTGTCTCCCACTGCTGCCATGTGTGACAGCTGCCATGTGTGACAGCTGCCATGTGTGACAGCTGCCATGTGTGACAGCAAGCTTACATTTCCACTACAAACGCTTGGTGAGTTCTTCATGAGGTCATCCACCTCACTACTTTTACCACTTAGTAAATGAACACCCCTGCATTGCAAAAACAAACAACAAAAAGAGCAGCCTCCTGCCTAGGTGACCTGGGGCACACCTTTAGTCCCAGCACTCAGGAGGCAGAGGCAGGCTGACCTCAGTGAGCTGGAGGTCAGCCTGGTCTACAAAGTTCCAGGAGAGCCAGAGGTACACAAAGACCTGTCTCAAACAAAACAAAAATACCTTTGTGGGAAGGGGAAAAACATGATAAAAATACGTTGTATGAAAGAATATTTAAATTAAATTAATTAAAAAGCACTTAAAGGAGAAACACAAAGCACAGCTAGAAACCACTCACACTTCATATGCAGAAAGAATGCCCTCTGAGGCCCTTTCCAAAAGGTGTGCACTTAGTTTTAAAAACTGAGTTTTTGCTTCATATTATTTCATAACACAAGATTTGCTACATGGACTGTGTGCGCAATCCTGCCAGCACTACCCAGGGCTTTACTCTGGACCCAAGAAACTACCGGATGCAGAACATCTATAAGTGTGACGTGACATCCAAACACAAGGCAGGCGCGGGAACTCTTCTTCAGCGTTGTCCTCATGCCACAGTAAGTTATGATCAACAGTCTAGCCTGTCCCATGAGCGACAATGAATACGAAATTACTTTCTGTGTGACTGAGAAGTTGTGGAACAGCCATTGAATATTGAAGTCACTGACATTGAGAACTGCTGAGAGGTTTAAGTTTTCATTGCATAGTATTCCATTAATACCACAAGAAGAGCCTAAGACAATCCCAACACCAAGCAACACACCATCCACAATTTAAGAAAAACCCTGGGGAGTTTGGGGGATCTGGCAGACAGATGACATCCTCATCATTATTGTTGCTGTTGGTCTCTCTCTCTGTGTGTGTGTGTGTGTGTGTGTGTGTGTGTGTGTGTGTGTGTGTGTGTGTGTGTATGTGCGTGTGTGCGTGCGTGCGTGCGTGCGTGCGTTCGTTCCAGACAAGGCCTTGCTATGTTGCCCAGGGACTGCAGGCATCTGCCACATGCCCAGTGACATCAGCATCAGAAACCCTCCAGTGCTGACGAAGAGAACAGAGCAGAGCTCACCAATGATGCATCATCTCTGAGCTACCACACTTCCTGCTCCTGGCTCACTGCGCTGTCCTCTTCTCAGTCCCTCCTCTATGCCCTTCAGATGCACCCTCATTATTGAACGAGCATCCACGGCAGCTCCCAAATTAAAGCACTTTCTACCACAAAGGCCAACTCTGTCATTCACCAAGGACATTTTGGTGATATGGGTCACTAAATTCTCACTGAAACACTAAACTAATCCAAATCAGGATAAAAAAAATCAACAGTTGAGAAACAAATGTATGGCAGTGAAGACATGGGCACCACTGACGAAATCCCTCAGCTGACAGCAGCAGACGATCCCCCTTCCGTCTGCGCTCAGCCAGGCACACTTTATGACACACCTCAGCAGCATCGCTGCAACAGAAATTCTTTTTTTTTTTTGTTTTTTTTTTTTTTTCCGAGAGAGGGTTTCTCTGTGGCTTTGGAGGCTGTCCTGGAACTAGCTCTTGTAGACCAAGAGCTGTAACTGGTCTCGAACTCACAGAGATCCGCCTGCCTCTGCCTCCAGAGTGCTGGGATTAAACACATGCGCCACCAACGCCCGGCTCAAATCCTTAATTTATCTACTTTTTTAAAATTTAATTTATTTTTTATTTTTTATTGAGCTCCACTGCCCTCCATGCTCACAATGTATTCAGGAGCTCTTGTCTTTTTCCCTTTCCTAGGCTGATCCAAGTATGTCTTTTTTTTTTTTTTTAAGGATTTTATTTATTTATTATATATACAACATTCTGCTTCCATGTATATCTGTCCACCAGAAGAGGACGCCAGATCTCATAATGGATGGTTGTGACCCACCATGCGGTTGCTGGGAATTGAACTCAGGACCTCTGGAAGAGCAGCCAGCACTCCCAACCTCTGATCCATCTCTCCGGGCCCCCTGTATGTCTTTCTTATGATCTTCTTTCTTACCTATGTTCTCCAGGGTTGTGGCCTGTAGGCTGTTTGTCCTTTGCTTTATGTCTAATCATCTACTCATAAGTGAATACATATTATATTTGTCTTTGTGGCCCTGGGTTACCTCACTCATTTTGACCTTTTCTAGTTCCGTCCATTTACATGCAAATTTCAAGATGTCATTGGTTTTACCACTGAGTAGTACATTGTACCAATGTACTACATTTTTCCTTATCCATTCTTCTAGGTTGTCTGAGGGGCATCTAGGTTTTTTCCAGGTTCTGGCTATTATGAATGTTGCTATGAACATAGCTGAGCACATGTCTTTGTGGTGTGAATATGCCTTCTTTGGGTATATGTCCAAAGTGGTATTGCAGGCTTTTGAGGTAGCCTGGTTCCCAATTTTCTGAGAAACCACCATACTGATTTCCAAAGCAACTGTACAAAGTTTTCACTCCCACCATCAATGGAGGGGTGTTCCCCTTTCTCTATATTCTCTCCAGCGTAAGCTGTCAATGGTTATTTTGATTTTGGCCATTCTGACAGGTGTAAGATGGTCTCTCAGCATTGTTTTGATTTGCATTTCTCTGATGACTAAGGATGCTGAGCATTTCCTTACCTGTCTTTCTGCCATCTGAGATTGTTCTGTTGAGAATTCTGTTTAAATCTGTACCCCAATATTATTATTAGATTATTTGGTCTTTTGGCATCTAGGTTTTTTTAGTTCTTTGTGTATTTTGGAGATCAATCCTCTGTCAGATGTGGGATTGGTAAAGATTTTTTCCCATTCTGTCTTGTTGAGGTCTTGGATCCATTTGGACTTGAGTTTTGTGCATGGTGATAGAGATGGATCTATGTGCATTCTTCTACATGTCGACATCCAGTTATGCCAGCACCATTGGTTGAAGATGCTTTTTTTTTTCCATTTTATAATTTTAGCTTTTCTGTCAAAAATCAGGGGCTAATAGGTGTGTGGATTAATATCAGGGTTTTCATTCAATTCCACTGATCGACCTGTCTGTTTTTATGCAAATACCATGCTGTTTTCATTAGTGTAGCTCTACAGTAGAGCTTGAAGTCAGCTATGGTGATGCCTCCAGAAGTTCCTTTACTGTAGAGGATTGTCTTGGCTATCCTGGGGTTTTGTTTTTCCATATGAAGTTGAGTATTGCCCTTTTGAGATCTATGAAGAATTTTGCTGGGTATTGCATTGAATCTGTAGATTTCTTTAGGTAAACTTGCCATTTTTTGCTATTTTTGGGGTCAATTATGTATACTATCATATCAGCAAATAGCAAAAGTTGGATTTCTTTTCCAATTTGTATCCCCTGAATCTCCTTTTGTTGTCTTATTACTCTAGCTACGACTTCAAATACGATACTGAATAGATATAGAGAGTGGACAACCTTGTCTTGTTCCTCATTTCAATGGGATCACTCAAAAGTTTCTCTCCATTTAGTTTGATGTTGGCTTTTGGCTTGCTGTATATTGCCTTTATTGTGTTTAGGTATTTTCCTTATATTCCTGCCCTCTCCAAGACCTTTATCCTGAAGGGGTGTTGAATTTTGTCACAGGCTTTTTCAGTATCTAATGAGATGATCATGAGGTTTTTTTGTATTTTCTTTCTTTCATTCATTCTTTCTTTCTTTCAGTTTGTTTTATATGGTGAATTATATTGACATATTTTCGTATGTTGAACCATCATCCCTGCATGTCTGGGATGAATCCTACTTGATCATGTTGGATGATTTTTCTAATTCGTTGTTGGTTTCAGTTTGTCAGTATTTTATGGAGTATTTTTGCATCAATGTCCATGAGGGAGATTGGTCTGTAATTCTGTTACTTGTGTCTTTTGTTTGGTTTAGGTACCAGAGTTTGCCGATGATCCTTCTGTTTCCGTTGTGTGTAACAATTTGAGTATTGGCACTAGCTCTTCTTTGAAGTTCTGGTAGAATTCTGCATTGGAAACACCTGGCAATGGCCTTTTTATGGTTGGGAGACTTTTGATGACTATTTCTAGTTCCATAGGGGTTATAAATCTATTTGTTTATCTGGTCTTCATTTAATTTTGGTATGTGTTACTTACGGAGAAAATTGTATATTTCCTTTAAATTTTCTATTTTTGTGGACTACAGGGTTTTGAAATATGACGTGATGATTTGCTAGATTTCCTCAGTTCCTGTTAGGTCCCCCTTTCATTTCTGATTTTCTTAATTTGGATATTCTCGATCTGCCTTTCGGTTACTTTGGATAAACCTTTGTCTATCTTGTTGATTTTCTTAACTCTGTCTCACTGAGTTTTTGTATTGTTTCCTTTGTTTCTATTTTATTGATGTCAGTCCTCAATTTAAATATTTCCAGCTGTCTACTTCTCCTGGGTGAGTTTGTTTCCTTTTGTTCTAGAGCTTTCAGTTGTTCTGTTAATTTGCTAGTATTGGATTTCGCTAGCTTCTCTAGGGATGGATTTGTGGATAGGTATTGTTTAAATCTGGTTTTCTCGTGGAATATTTTGTCTTTTCCATATACGGTGATGAAAATTTTGTTGGATACAGTATCATGGGCTGGCATCTATGGTCTCATAGTGTCTGCGTAGTGCCTGACCAGGCCCTTCTGGATTTCACTGTTTCAATTGAGAAATCAGGTATAATTTTGATAGGTGTGCCTTTATATGTTACTTAGCCTTTCTCCTTTGCAGCTCTTTATATCCTTACTTTATTCTGTATGTTTAGTGTTTTGCTTATTACATGGTATGGGGACTTTTTTTTTTTTTGTCCATTCTATTTGGTGTTCTGTAAGCTTCTTGTACCTTTGTGGGCATGTCCTTTAGGTTGGGAAAGTTTTCTTCTATGATCTTGTTAAATATATTTTCTGTGCCTTTGAGCTGGACTACTTCTTCTATTCCTATTATTCTTAGGTTTGGTCTCTTCATGGGATCCCATGTTTCGCAGATATTTTGTGTTAGGAATTTGTTGGATTTAATATTTTCTTTGACTGATGAATCTACTTCCTCTATGGTATCTTCAACACCAGAGATTCTCTTTTCCATCCCTTTTTTTTTTAAAGATTTTATTTATTTATTATGTATCCAACATTCTGCTTCCATGTGTATCTGCACACCAGAAGAGGGCACCAGATCTCATAACGGATGGTTGTGAGCCACCATGTGATTGCTGGGAATTGAACTCAGGACCTCTGGAAGAGCAGGCAGAGCTCTTAACCTCTGAGCCATCTCTCCAGCCCTCTTTTCCATGTCTTATATTCTGTTGTTTATGCTAACATCTGTAGCTCCTGATCATCTACCCAGTTTTCCCATTTCCAGAATTCCCTAGGTTTCTATTTTCTTTATTTCCTCTACTTCAGTTTTCAAGGCTTGAACCATTTCCTTCACCTGTTTGATTGCTTTTTCTTGGTTTTCTTTAAGAGCTTTGCTGATCTCCAATTTTTCACTTGTCTTTTCCTCCATTTCTTTAAGGGAATTTTTCATTTCCTCTTTAAGGACGCAATCATCCTCATGAAGTTATTTCTAATGAGTGCTTCCTCTATTTGGGGACCTTCAGGTGTTGCTGCTGTAGCATCACTAGTTCTGGTGCTGCCATATTGCTCTTCACGCTGCTGACGGTATTCTTACCTTCATGCTCATCTCTTCCTCTAATTGGTAGAGGTGGATGGAGCCTGTGCTTCAGGGGGTCCCTCTCCTCCTCCAACTGGTGCAGTTGAGGGTTGAACGTTCCCTCGGGTGCAAGCAGGGCTGAGCCTCCGGTGGTCGCTTCTCCGGGCCTAGATGGGCCCAAGGCTCAGATGGCCACTCAGTTCATGCGGAGCCACAGCGTGCCCACTTGGCTGCTGAGACACACTGTCATCCTGCGGGTCACCCCCTCGGTTGCTCTTGTTTTGTTTTTTTAAAGACAGGATCTTACTATATAGCCCAGGCTTGTCTGGGAACTTATCATGAACTCCAGGCTGGTCTAAACTTGAAATGATACTCCTGTCCCAGGCTCCTAAGTGTTGACCTACAATACACCAGGTTCAAACTTTTTTTTTTTTTCCTAAGACAGGGTTTCTCTGTGTGGCCTTGGCTGACCTAGGACTTGATTTATAAACCAGTCTGGGCTCAAACTCACAGAGATCCTCCTGCCTCTGTCTCCCAAGTGCTGGGACCAAAGGCCTGCGCCACCACCGTCCAGCATTCAAATTTATTTATTTAGACAGGACTGTGGAATATTCCTTACCACTGTATGAATATATGTCACTATTGGTTTAATAAACAAGCTGACTGGCCGACAGCTGAACAGGATAAGTTGAGGTAGGAGAGCAAAACTGAGAATGCTGGGAGAAAGGGGCAGAGCTGGGCCGTCCCAAGCAGATGCAGAATGGGCGCGCTGTACTGAGAAACGGCAGCAAGCCACGGGGCAAAGAACAGCTCATAAGGGTTGATTTAAATGTTCAGAGTTAGCCAGTACCAAGTCTATCTGCTAAGCATTTACAATCAATAGTAAGTTTCTCTGAGCGGTTATTTGAGGGGCAAACACCACCACCTCCACAGGATTTCTTGTAGCCAAGGTTAATTTCACACAACATGTAGAGGGGGTGACCCTGAGCACCCGATCCTCCTCCTGTGACTTCACAGGGCGGAGTCAAGTGCACTGATAGACCTGGTTCACGCTGTAGTCTAGGTGGGCCTGGAATTCACTGAGCAGATGAAGCTGGCCTTTCCAATCCATGACCAACTTTCTTGCCTCCGACTTCCAGTGGCTGGGGTTCCATGAAACATCTACCACACTTGGCTAAGCCTCACATTCTCATTCCAGCATTGCTGTCAACTTTTACCTTGTTAATGATAGTCTAGCTCTGATTCTTCTAAAAAAAAAAAACAAGTAGATCTTTTGTCACTTCTTTGAGCACTTATCATGGTCTACCTACCTGTCAAGATATTTTGCTGGATGTAACACTTACCATGAATCATGAGCAGCCTAAGGCAGCAGTGTTCAAGCTCTGGGGGGGTGAATGACCCTTGCACAGGAGTCAAGACAATGCATTGGAAAACACAGATATTTACATAACAGTAGCGAAGATTTATGGTCAAGGGTCACAACAACTGAGGAACTGTACTAAAGGACTGCAGCATTAGGAAGGTTACGAACCACTGTGTCAAAGGACTGCAGCATTAGGAAGGCTGAGAACCACTGTGCTAAAGGGTCACAGTGTTAGGGAGGTCAAGAACCACTGTGTGAAGGGATTGCAGCATTAGGAAAATTGAGTACTACTGCTCTAAGGGAAGAGAGCTTGTTCCCGGAGCTCTGTGGATGCATTCAAAGACACCAATGAGTCATGACATGACAGAATCAAATCAATAGGATGAGTACAAGAACAAACATAGATATCAATTTATACAAAGTTGTGGATATACATAAAGTGAATGAGTTTCATGGTCTGACATTTTTCCCGTTATAATCCTGTAACAAAAAGGATACCTGAAGGCATTGGTCTCCAGAATTTCAAAGCCCAAACAGAAAGGAGTGTCTCACTTGTTTTCCCATTGTTTGACACAGGGTCTCTATATAGCTCTGGCTGTTCTGGAACTCACTGTGTAGAGCAGGCTGGCCTAGAACTCACAGAGATCCACCTGCCTCTGCCTCTGCCTCCAGCGTGCTGGAACTTAAGACATATCTGCATAGCAGAAGTGTTTTACAACAGCAGAATCCCTGGTGAAAATCTAGCTAAGGATTCTGCCTAAAATTTCTGCTTCTTCTGAGCACCTTGGGGCATCAGACATCTCTACTTCAGAGAAAGAGCACAGACGAGAGGCATGGCTTCCCCGAGTCACTCTCCTGTGTTTACAGCTGTAGTCAAGCACGTGAAATGCAGGGGAAGTAGAATCAGAATTAAGGGTTACCTTCAGTCTGGAAGGCATGAGACCATCTCAACAACCAAAAGTTTGAAAACAAGATTAAACACAGAACCAAAAGAAAAATATCTACTTATCTCTTAAAGAAAAGGAAAAAGATTTTTTACCATGAGGGGATATTTAAAGTAGTCACTATCGAGGGAGCACTCTTTGGCAGCAAGAGCCAGGCCTTGTAAAATAGGGATAAAGATCTGTAAGAAAAAAAGAAAAGCACAAACATTAGGTTTAAGGGAAATGAAGTCTGCAAGCATGTCGGACAAGGTCCTGGCTGTGCGGGTCCAGGACTCCTACTTTCCCCCAGGAGAACCCTTCCTCTCCTTCCTCTCTTCTAGAAAAAGCATGGTGAATCCTGAGTGTTGACCCACTTGACCAATGAGGCTCACCATAAAGCAAGGGAGTTCAATTTTCCAGAAAAGGGTGCTGATGGACACTAACACTCCAGCGGGACGCGCTGACACCCAACAGCACCCAGCACAGCTGCAGCTGCTGAGTGCTCAGAGGGCCTGCCTCACTGCAGACTTCTGCATACCTCACTACTCTACCCTCCTCCTCCAAGGTGCACACCTATGGTCTGTAGAGAAAGTACCCAAGTGCTCCACCTTCTCAAATCCACCTATACTTAAAACACTGTTTGGTTCTGTTTGTTACAATCAGCTTTACTGAGAACAAGGAGACAGTTGATCAATGTTCAAACTGAAAAACAAATGATTAGTAAGTCTGCCTTACCTTCACACACAGCACAATTAATATAGTCACCTGACCTGAAAATGGAAGGGCATAAAAACTGTACAAGGTTTGCACTGACATGGGAACAGTGTGCAAGCCCTGCTCAACACAGCCCACCTTCAAACTCCATCGTGTGCTGCACTGAGCCACACAATTAGGAGTGGGCTAGAATCCAAGACTAACAACACCAAGGGAAAACGCACATACACAGCCACTGGCAATCTGAAGCACAAGCAGGAAAAGGAGCGTAGCCTGAGGACACTAGAAAACTTGGACCAATCCCTTGGGCCACAGAGAAGATAAGACAGAGGACCAAAAGAGCACCGTATATCACATGCGCCTGTGGAGCATTTTGTGCTATCCAAACAGCTCTGGAAGAGATCACCCTGGTCCCATGACCGGAATAATCAGGGGAGAAGTAATGAGCTTTTGTAAACTAGCTGAAAACTGGGAGTAACAGTCAGCAGGGGGCAGGAGGTGCCAAAACTGCAATCAAGAGGAAAAGGCAAAACAAGTTCTAAAATGCCAGATGGTTGCCAATAACAGTCCACCAGAAAGAAATTTAATTATGTTTTAAGAAATACTTTAAGCTTTGCTTTTTAGTAGAGTTATCCCCCAATGCAAGTAAGAACTTAACTGATAATAAACCGGGAAAATATGAATAAGCATAAAACATTTCCCTCCATCAAGGATTGTATTTTTCAAATTTCTCTTTCAGGAGTCAGTACTATCTTTCTCTTGTGGGTTCAGGGACCAACCTTAGGTCATCCAGCCTCACAGCAAGCACTTTCACCCACTGAGACAGCTTGCCAGCCAAGGCATTATATTACTTTAGTGATCTGCACATTGCAAATAATTCATTTATTTTTCTAGTAAATATTTACTAGTACAGACAAAAGTTTCTGCTATTCACTTTCAGTCTTACATGTGTTTCTGTTTATTCATCTAGAAGTATCGCCCAAACATTAAAAGGAAGGGGAAATTCCAGTTGAGGACATAGCAAATCACATCTGCCAACTTGTTAGATGAAAAGGTAAAACGTGGCCCATTGCGGACCAATTCGGTTAGCAGTTCCCTGTTGTACAACACTTCCCTCCAGATAAAACTCATGGAGTGGTGGTGGCAGCCTTTAATCCCAGCAGGAGGCAGAGGCAGGAGGATCTCTGTGAGTTCCAGGACAGCCTCCACAGGTATAGAGAAACCCTGTCTCGAAAAAAACAAACAAAAAAATCTCACGGTAACAGAGGAAGGACAATGGCCTTCATGCCAGCTGGCAAGAGAAGGCGCCGGCTTCCTGTGAGCCATGGAGACCTAGCTGTGCTGTTAGCTGCCACTGAGTTCATGCCACCTTCTTGATAAAACCATCAAAGGTGACTTTGTGACCTCTGCATAGCATGTCCCTTCTGGGTGGCTCTTGGCCTGATTTTAAAACTACTCTTGAGTTCTTCAAATGCTTGCTTTTACAAAAGGAAAGGTGTTCGTTAATGCTGATCACACCCAAAGGCCACTTCATTTAAACCTCCTGAGACAATTCTTTTTTTCCACTGGAGTTCATGATCTCCCTAAAGATAAAGAGCTCACTAAGTTAAGTTGCCTCTGTTGTTCCCCCAAGTCCAAAAGACATCAGTAATAGCAACAGTTAACAACACCAGAGAAGGTGTAACCTTAAACAGATTTTTCTTCTTGAGTCCTGAACTGTTCTTTCCTTCTTTTTTCTCCCATTCAGATGAGGGCTCACTATGTAGCCCTGGCTAGCCTGGAACTTACTTACTATATAGACCAGGCTGGTTTCTAACCCATATTTACCCACCTCTGACTGGTGAGTGCTGGGATTAAAGGCATTCCCCAACATACCTGATGTGGCCTGGACTGTGTTTTTAAAATATTTAAGAATTCAAAGGACTTACCAAGAGTTATTAATATACTAGCTATGAAACAAAGCAAAGGGTATTGTGCCAACTGGTCACATACACAGTGAAATCTAGGAAGAGGCATTTCCCATATATTTCCTGAGGATCCACATAAGATTAACAGCAGCCCCAATCAGCAGGAAGTAGTGTTACAAAACGACTCCGAAGTTCCTAAATACTGTTTATAAATGCTTGTTTTCATTTAAAGGGGGTTGATTATAAATGGTTAATGGTTAGTCAATCTCTAAAGAAAAAAGGGGATATGATACATTAGTATGGATTTTGGTTTATTGATACAAATTTAAGGTCAATTTCGTTATGCTATATGTATCTCTACTCTTGTTTAAGGTATTATGTTTTGTTTTGGGTTTTGTTTTTTTTTGAGACAGGGTTTCTCTGTATTGCTTTGGAGCCTATCCTGGCATTCACTCTGTAGACCAGGCTGGCCTTGAACTCACAGAGATCCACATACCTCTGCCTCCTGAGTGCTGGCATTAAAGGCTTGTGCCACCAAATGAAATGTACAATTAAGAAATAAAGATTAATAGTTGCCTACAATAGTTAAACTTATAGTCAGGTTAGTTAGGTTTTCTAGATGTACAGAGATATATTTCAGATGGATAGGTAATCTTCAGAGACCTACAGATTATGACATTTAAAATGTTTTAAGAACTTAGGCTTTTCGTGACTATGAGACATGTCAGCTCCTGGCAGCACCAATCTGCTTAAATGAAGACGATGGGAACCAAAGAAACTCCATATGGAATTTGCTTTCTTTATGGCAAAAGCTAGCCAATGGGCAAGAAACTTCTCTTGCCTTGACGGCCTGACTGTATGCTGTATAAACCAGACATGCAGGACCCACATGAACATGAGTGCTAAACAAGATGGGACAGTTCTTCCGGGCCCCTGCCTCACTATAAAGAGTCTATAATGCCGTACATTCTATAGCACACAGAAGAAAGCAACTGACAAACTGTGCCAGTACAAGGCAGAACAGATATCCCAAATTTCCTGCTTCACTGAAAAGTCTGCCAGATACGCTAGAACTGCAGGCTCAACAGACACCCCAATGTTGCAGAGGAACTTTGGGTGACTGACTGTCCAGATGTACCTGTCATTTCTAGAATTGTGGAAGCTGCTTGCAATGCACTTCCTATTTATTTAGGTAACATTTCCTTCTGGGGTCTTTGGTGGAACTGAATATAGTTATAGTTTTCCTTTGTTACGATAAAAGATAAATTAGATATAAAACGTTAGACTCACAGAGATAGATGATAGAATATTTTCTCTAAATTTTGCCAAATGCAAATAGACTAAACATTGTAACTGTAATTCTTGCTTAACTGTGCTGTTATATGTAATTTCACTATGTTAATATCAAAACCTTCCTTTTTTTAATTAGACAGAAAAGGAGAGATGATCTGGGATGTCCTTTTATATGCTGTGAATGTGTGTTGCATTTATTGGTTGATGAATAAAGGTGTTTTGATCAATGGCCAAGCAAAACATAGCTAGGTGGGAAAACCAAACAGAGGAACTGAGAGAAAGAAGGTGGAGTCAGGGAGACTTGTAGATGTGGAGGGAGAAACATGCCGGAGCACCACCTGTAAGTCACACTCTTGTGGCAATACACAGATTAATGGAAATGGGTTAATTGATAAGAGAGAGCTAGCAGTAGTATGTCTGAGCTATTGGTGAAAACAGCTTTATCAACCAATAACACATATTCGCAGCCTACAGAAAGACATCCCTTATCACACTGTTAATGTAATCCTTGCCTGTATATATTTGTATGTGGTTATTGTACTTACTGTATATAGTTTTACTATGTTGGTTGAAACCTTGGCTTTTTATTTAGGCAAAAGGGGTGAAACGTGATTATTTTGATTGTGTTGTGACAAAGCTTGCTTGGAGTCAGAGGGTGGAGTCAGCCACCAGCTGACCAAAATTAACCATAGAGGTTTGGAGAGCCATAGAGAGGAGACAGGCAGTAGTACAGCAGGGTTGAGAGAGGATCTCGATCCCTTTGGAGGTAGGAAGCCACTGTGACTGCTTCTCTAATCTTTCACGTTTTTACCCCATATCTGACACCCAATTTTTATTGGTAAAGATTAATTAGATTTATACTTCAATGACGTTCTTATTGGTTTCCTTTAGAGCCTATATTAATTATGCATGGATTTTCATTATGAGATTTTCATACATACACATAATGTATTTTTGTTGTATTCACCTCCTTACACTCCTGGGTCTCCTTCCGATTCATACTAACCCCCACACTATTTTCATGTCCTCCTTCCCTCTCACCCTCGCCCCCCCCCACCCGCCACATACACTTTCTTTCTTCTTTCTTATGACCCAATGAATTTACTTAGGGGCTACTTGAATAAGCATAAGTGAAAGCTGTTCATAGGAGCACAGGTACCTTTACCAATGGCTGTATCACCCAAAAAAGTATCTTTGCAAGCCCCAATAACCACTAACTGCATGGGAGGGGTGGAGTTTCGTGAGCCCCTCCTCTATTCCATGACATGACACATCTGGACATCAGCGTAAATGCAGCAAGCGAAAAGCAGGAGTATTAGCTGGCCACTGTACCTGCTTGAACACCTCTTCATCCTGGTGAGTGGTCCGCACCAGCTCTTGAAGGAAGCCGTACGGGAGATTCCTGCACAGCATGTACGGCACAAGAAAGGATGGCTGCTGCAAGGACCTGCAGACCCAAGGAGACCAGAGGCTGTGACGGAGGCAGGGGAGTCGTGGCCACATAAGCCACCCAGCCACATACACATGAAACCCGTCCAATGTTCTGTGCAACCACTACTCAGGCAAAGCATGACCTTTCCTAACACTGCAGACATCTGGACTTCTAAATAAGACACCAGGAGAAAAAAAAAAAAAAAAAAAAAAACACAAACACTTTTCTTTGCAGAGACCTTTCAAAGTGAAACATTAGGGTTGGGAGGTAGTTTGGTGACAAAGCATTTGGCTAGCATATGCAAAGCCCCAGGCTGAATCCTCAGCAATGGAAAATAAATAATGAGTTCTTTAAAATGAATTATGGGGACCAGAGAGATGGCACAGGAGTTAAGAGCTCTTACAGAGGACCTGTTTAGCTCCCAGCACCCACTTCCAGGAGATCCAACACCTTCTTCTGACCTCCAAGAGCACCACAGGCACATGGTACACACACACACACACACACACACACACACACAGGCAAAGGTCCATATGCAGAAGCGAATTTAAAACCCCTTCGAATATAAAAAATAACTATTGCTTATTTTGTTTATGCCTCATCTACATTGGGAAAAAGATTAGAAACAATCTCTTTCACACTCTTTTTCTATTTTGATACTTCTTTTGGGTTTTGGGGGTTTTGTTTGTTTGTTTGTTTTAGTTTGGTTGGTTGCTCCGTGTAGCCCTGGCTGGTCTTGAACTCACAGAGATCCTCCTGCCTCTGCCTCCCAACTGCTGGGATTGAAGGCATGCGCCACCAACGCCCAGCATGTTACTTGTTTTTTAAAGAGGAGGTTTTGCTATTGAGCCCAGGAGGCTTCAAACTAGCAAGCAATCCTAAACCTCTACCTGGCAAATCCTGGGATCACAGGCACTTGGCACCACACAGGCTAATTTTCCTTCATTTTGAAAAGATTAAAAAAAAGAAAGTTACAGAACAGGAAATGGCCAAAATGAAAAAATGCAATGTTTCCGTATTTTTGCATAAGAAACATGAAACACAGGGCTGGAGGGCTGTGATGTCAGTAACTCCAGAGCACTGGCTGCTCTTCCAAAAGATCTGAGTTCAATTTCCAGTACCTACATAGTGGTTAACTCCAGTTCTAGAGGGATCCAATGCCTTCTTCTGGCCTCCATGGCCACCAGGCATGCTCGTGATACACAAAATGCAAGCAGATAAAACACCCATACACATAAAATAAAAAAATCTTTAAAATACACAACCTTTTGTTAACTTTGACAGCTATATAGAATTTTCTGAAACAGGCAAATCACAACATTTTTTGTCAATTTCCAGATCAGTTTCCTACTACTGTATTTTGTTTTATTCTGTTTTTATGAGGTGGTCTCACCATAAATCCCAGGCTGGCCTAGAACTTACTGCATAGGCCAGACCGACTTTGTATTGGCAGCAATCCTCTTGCCTTTGCCTCTTGCTAGGATTACAGGAATGTGCCCCACCCCTCGCCTGGAACCCCCCACTATTATCCAACACCCTGTAACAGAAACCAGCGTGGAGACACATGGAGCATGACTGTTTTGTTACAAACATCAGCTAACTTCCAACACTAGATTTTAAATTAAATTAATATTATGCCTTGGTTCTACATATTTCAAAAAAGTACACAGAACTCTTCAAATATAACTTCTTTTTAAAAATATGCTCTGTACTATTTAGCAGATGAAGAAAACATTACTTTATTTCCACAATATTCAGGTACAGGAAAGGGCACTCTAGGTCGTTAGATGCATCTATTTTCATCCTATGTGTGAGTGTTTTTCCTGTATGTATGTCTATGGACCACTCCACATGTATACAGTGTCCTAAGAGGCCGGAAAAGGTCATCAGATCTCCTGGAAGTGGGGTTACAGATACTATGATCCACCTTTAGATGCTAGGAATCAAACCCAAGTCTTCAGCAAGAGCAGCCAGTGCTCTTAACCTCTGAACCATCTCTCTAGCCTGAGTTTAATAACTGAATCAAAACACATTCCCTGTACAGGTCAGAGTTATCCAGCATAGCATAAAACAACTAGAAGATAACATCCTCTGAGAGATGGCCCTCTACCAACAGCAGAAACGGCCATGTGAGTATCCGTCATACCTGGGCTGTGTGAGGGAGCCTTGCAGCACTAGTGCCGTGTGGGAGATGCACTGTGAGCGGATGTTGCTCAGAAGCTGGCTGACGGCTGGCTGGCTGCACATCTGGAGAAGAAAGTTAACAGTCAACACAAAAAAAACTGGAAAGGATTGGAGGAAGGTGGTGGCTAGAAAATGCCCCGCTTCCTTCTCCCTAGACTCATAACGGACAAACCACAGCAAGTGTGTCACCAACCTGTGCCACCTGTCCTGAGGCTAGTGAGGGAACACAGAGCAGAAAGTGGGGCATACCCGTCCTGTTTCCTTTTAAGGGGTGTTATACCATACTTCGAGGCAGGGTCTTCTGTACCATAGCCCAGGTTGGTTTCAAACTCACAGCAATCCTCCTGTCCCAGGCTCCCAGAGTGCAAAACTGTTAAGTGTACACCACACCTACCTAGCATTTCTTTGCTTTGGCTAAGATTAGGACAACAATCCCTAAAGAGGCCCCACGGCTGTGAAACTACCATGGGGCAATTAGTCTCTTTAGTCAGACTAGAGTTAGCTGGTGAAACACGAACAACAAGACAGACAATGAGAGGGTGCTGCATGCCGCTCATCCCAGTTGCCAGAGGCAAGTAGATCTCTGTGAGTTCAAGGCCTGCTAGGGCTACATAGTGAGACCCCATCTCAAAGGGAGGTGGGAGGTGTAAATATTTCCTTGGTTTAGCATGGTTCTGCAGCTTGTTATTTAATAATTCTGACAATGACAGCTTCAACTTCAAGTGGCACCACTTACTTATACATGGCTGCTCAGATTCACTAGGCCCATAGCCTGATTACACATCCTGGAACCACAGCACAGGTTTTCACAATGATTATGTCAGGCAACTGGCATTATGGTTTCAATAAAAACATGTCCCCTGAAGGCTCGTATGTTACAGGCTTGGTAGCAAGCTGATGGGCTTTGGAGGGGTGAGGGGTCACCAGGGCTGTGGCTCTGGCTTCAGCAATGCACTGACTGATGATCAGTGGAACTGGCAAGTAAGGCCTCCCAAAAGGAAGTCGGTCAGAGTGTAGCTGGGTGGTATAGCTCATCCTGGGACTCTTCCTCTGCTTTTCTTTGCTTCCTGGCCACCATGACAAGAGCAATGTGGTTGTCCACCACACCCCCAAAACAACGGACTCAGCGGATGATGGAATTAAATGTGTGTGAGCACAATATACTTCTCGTCCTTGGAGTTTCCTGAGTATTTTGTCCTAGCAATGGAAAACTGACACCGTGAGCAGTTATCATGAGCATGTGTGACACAGGCAACACCCATCTACAGGGCAGACAAAGGAAAGGACTCTGGGGCCAAGGCCCTCAGACTCATGTCTGAGTTCTGGCATTACCTCTCCACAGTGATGTGAGCTCTGTGGTCACAGACAGATCCTAAGCTGCCAGCACAGTGCCTGGTCCCTAACAGCTGCTCCATCACTCCTGACTAATCAATCAACCAATAGCTTCTCCTCGGCAGGGATTAGCACACACATGACATAACATGCTTTACTGTCTTCCGGTCAGTCCACTTCATAGTACCTTTGGTGCTTTTTTTTCCTCTATTCCAACTCGGTCAAAACACTCGATGAGGTAGTTCAGCATGTCTGTCTCCTTGCAGGTTTCAATGGTGAAATGATCACTGTATGAATCCCAGTTACTTGCTCCACCAGAGGCTCCCAAACTTTGGAGAAGAGAAAAAACATTGACAATGCTTACCTCTTCGTGACCATTTCTAGAGAAGCTTGTCACTCTGCAGCAGAAAGCCTGTTAGGAGCCCTGCATCCACGGTGAAGCACAAACACCCATGCAGCCAGACTGGAACTCACCGATGTTTTATCTGCTCCCAGCCCAACCAGTGATCTCTGGTAAACCTGTTCTAGCCTGTCAATGGGGCTGGGCCTTTGGGGGAGGGGTCTTAAATCTGAAGGACTCAGAATTGCTGCTGACTACTGAGCAGCTAGAACCAACCACAGGCTCAAAAGCCAAATCCAGCAGCATCTCTTGGGTGGACAAGAGTTGCCAGACAATGGTATAATGTATCACTTCAGGAAATACATTCTAAGTGACTAAGGATACTATCTCTCACCCTCAGGATGTCTACCTAGAGTATGCTCAGCATTGACAGCAGCCAGAACTTACAGAAAATGCCAAGGCAGAAGGAGACATGAATGTTTTTGCTATTAAATCTCCAAATGGATAGGGAAGAGTAGAACAATGAAAACAAAGTAAACAGAAGTCCTGCACAAGGAGTAAGCTGTCTTGGCTTGTTACATGCACTGAGAACCTCCACCTCACCAGCAGGGGACAGCGTGGAACACTGTTACTATTTGTAATGACTATTCCCAAACAAAGGCCAAACATCACACTGGATAGGTTCAAGGATACTGAGTAAAGCTGAGGTTAACCTTGAACAGACTCAAACCAAACTGGGTGTTCAACTCGCACACTCATTTGTCCTACACAAAAACCACAAGAAGATTAAAACAGGAAGAAGGAAAGGCATTCTAAAATAAAGGGAGAAAGTTAGGCAAAAATACCACCTATCACTTAAGGAAGATGATACAGAAGGGAAGAATACCGGGACTGTGACAGACATCTCTCCTTTAGCCTCACACAGACAAAGCAGAGAATCTAAAAGGCCCCAAAACTGAGATAGCAGCAATATGCTATATACACACCCAGAGGCATGCATAATTAGTTTTGGAAAATATATGAATAAATCACCTTGTCATTGAAAGGAACCCCATACAGTAGCCATGAGAGTGAAAGCAGGGCGTGGAGGTAACGCAGGGCACAGGAAGACAACGTTTATAAAGCCAAGGCTTTCAGTCCATAGTCCAGCAAACCGGAATTACTATAATTTATAATCCAGTTTGATAGAAATTTTAAAAAGAAGAGAGGAATGAGGCCAAGGGGCAGTCTAGAGGTCTGCAGGGCACCTCAGTAGATCCAGGACAAAGGCAGCCAGGGGACCTGAAGCAGTGTAAGTTCATCATCAAGGCAGCAATGGGTGTCTGGTGTGCCTTAGTCACTCCTGGGGAGATCTGGTAGGTCCTGACTGGCTAGACAACAGAAACACACACACAAGACCAAGCACAGGAGAAACTCAGCCAGCAACAGACAAAGGCCTCTATCACTTTGTGCTGAGTGAAGCTAGTCCTGGGAAAAGTGAGGGAAACCCTGCCTGACCCACAACAACCTGGGTTTATCTGCGACTCCCTGATCATGCTCACTGCACAATCCAAAGATGGGCTTTGTTACTACAGCCCTATACCCACGTGTAATTCAGAGTAATTTTCCTTGTAGCAGCTTTCACAGATGTCAGGGAAAGCACACACTTGGTGTTTAAAATGAAAAATTTAAACTATTTTTCTGATGAACCCACATTTCAAACATTTTCTGAAATTAAAAAAAAATTACATTTGCTGCCAACAGCTCCTTACCAGCTGCAAGCGGTCAGTGTGCTGCAACCCACAGACTAGCACATGAGCCTGTATCTGAGGGATTGCAGCATTCATGGTGCTGGCTCATGCAACTGCAGCTGAGCCACCAGATACTTCCAACAACACACTCCACTCTACATTCAGTAGGACGTGAAGAGCGACAGGGGACAGGTACACTAGCATACACCTGTAACCCCAGCACTCAGGGGGCAGAGGTAGATAACATAGGTTACACAGGAAGACGCTGTGACAGAACACCTAGCAGTCCATCTGGACAACACTAAAGCACCTAAGGATGGATGATCAAGGGATTTTTCAAAGGTAAGAGATGGTTATGAATCAGACAGCAATGAGCTGATTTTCCTCAGAATAAAGAAAGGGGTGAGATGACCCTTAACCCAACACAGAAATATGCAGAAACCCCGGGTATGGTTTTCGATGTGCCAGCGGCAACCATGACCTCAGTACTAGAAAGTTCACTCTCATCAACCCTGAGAGTCAGTGGTCAAGATGACGGTAAAGACTCAATGCATTCACAGTATGAACACAGCACCAAAAAGGAAAGTGGTGTAGTTATATGACTGGCTTCATGGCATCACTAAACATTCAGGAATATTTAGGTGCGGTCCAGTGGTCTGGACCTTTAGTCCTGGCTGTTCAGGAGACTGAAGAGAGGATGGATGGCGTCCTAGAGTTGAAACCCAGGCCCAACAACACTATAGGTCCCCCTTCTTCCACCACACTAAATAACTCACTCACCTTTATTACTAAAAGCTGGTTCTTTATGATTCTTTCACAACTCTGACATTCTAAAATCCTGGAAATATTCCATATTTAAGTTACAAGAACAACTTAAAACATTTATGCCACCACTTAAGAAGCTGTCGGCCACTTTCTGACAGCTACACCAGCAGTCTGAATTAATCAGGTAATCATCACACAGGACAGGAATGTAGCAGAAGACTCCAAAAACAATGAAAGTATTTTTGAAGAAAATAATGTGCCCCGTATCCAGACAGACGGAATTACACTTCAAATGTACCGACACCTACCACACCCGCCTCAGTGCACTTCCTTCTCGAACGGGAAATCACTTTCCCATTTGCCAAGCTGTGTGCATGCATGCATGGGGTCACCACTGAGCACTGTTCCTCAAGAGCACGGGATTTCTTAGAGCAATGTGAAGGCAAGTGCAGAGAGCAGCAGTCAGTGCCCAGGCTGAAGATGGGGCAAGAGGGAGATATGGAAACTTCCTGCCTACTCTTCCACACTGCTCCGCTGACAAACCAAAGTGCGCTCATCAGTTAGCTGTTAATCTTCCCTTCTCTACTCACGACCTTCACTGGGGTAACTGGGCAAACGAGTAGGAATACAAAATAAAGCATCAATTTCTTTCTAGATATGAAGCTCCCAAGAAACACAGAGAGCTTTCCTCGTGGTGTGTGAATGACAAGGTATGCGGGTGTGTGCCCGGGTGTGTCCGTGTGCATGTGTGTGTGTGCGTGTGCGTGTGCGTGTGTCTATGAAACACAGTACCACTAGGGAAGTCAGAAGGAATCTTCAGAAGTCAGCTTTCTCCTTTTCTCCTTCCACTATGTGAGTGGGTCCTGGGATCAAATTCAAGTTGTCAAGCTGGTCCTTCGCCAGAGTAGGGTGCTCTTGAGGTGAACCACCTCCACACACACAAGTCTTTACTTGAAGGAAGTCTAAACTGTGCGCATGAGAACCTGGCTCACTATGCTTAGGGCAGTGATCTCTAAGTACTAAAGCGCTTCCACAGCATCACTCTGCTGACCCTCAACACGGTGTGTCTGGGGTGCTTTCTTATTTCTTTCTTTGAGCTTTGAAAATTCAGTGGGAAAGGCCTTCCTTTCGTAGAGGCTGGTTTTCTCTGACGCGCTTTGTCTCTGAGCTGTGTAAGACTCTAAGGGATTGTTTTCCAGGGTTCTTTCTTTTTATTTACTTCTTTGGTTTTTTAAGAAAGGGTTTCTCTGGCTGTCCTGGAATTCACTCTGTAATTAAAAATCCAAGAGATCCGCCTGCCTCTGCCTCCTGAGGGTTCTGGAATTAAAGGTGTGAGACACCATGCCCATTTTCATTCTTAATGTGATCGTTACTGTTATATAGAAAAATGATTCATTTTCCTGCATCCTGCCACCTGGCTGAGACTGCAGACCTCCAGACCTCTATGGTTATCTAGTGACAAGCTCCATCCTCTGATCTTCAGACAGGCTTTATTTGTTCAAGCAAGATTTAACCACAGTTATTAGACTTCGTAGTTTTCTGGTAGGGTGCTTTAACATGGGATCACGAAGATAACGAGATGGTTCAGCGGCTAAAGGTATCTGTTGCTCTTGCAGAGGACCCAGATTTGGTTCCCAGCACCGGCAATGGCTGCTCACAACCATCTGTAATTCCAGGATATCCAAGAGCACCTACACTCAGGCACATACATATAAAACATTAAATATAGTTTTAAAAAGCTACAAGGTTTTAGTTGGGGGGGGAAGGGGAGGATGGGTGGGAGAAGGGAACTGGGATTGTCGTGTAAAAACAATCCTGTTTCTAATTCAAATAAAAAAGTTGAGGAAAAAAAAAAAAAAAAGCTACAGAATCAGGCTAGAGAAATGGCTCAGTGACTAAGAACACTGGTGTTACTCCAGAGGACCTGAGTTCAATTCCCAGCACCCTTATGTCAGTTAACAACTGTTGGGAGCACAGCACAAAGATCCTAGAGAAACCAGGAATCGTAAGCACACAGGATTGTCTTTCTAATGGGAAAGATGAAGAAAAAATCCGTTCTTCCTTCCAGAAAGCTGAGAAATGGATGTGATTAACAGTCTGGTGATCTGTGTTATCTGCTGGGCCAGGCCATATTAAGCTAATAAAGCCAGGACTGGGGATGGCTAGTATCTAAACGATATAGCCAGCGGTTCCCCCAGGTTCCCACAACCAGCACCAGAGGTGGCTAACAGCCCAAATGACCTCTATGGTATCTGCATGACCAAGACCAAGCCAGACCCTTAGGCCCTTATGTTGTAGGATATTTGTACACTGTGTGAAATGAAAGTCCCACTACATATGGAGTCCAGCATGGAGGGTCAAATATCCACAAAGGGCCTGCGAAAGTGGTCTCTCAGTGTATAAAGGCCCAGATCTTTTAGGAGGTCATGCTGTGCAGTAGAGCATTTGAGCAGACAGCAAACAAGGTAAAAATGCTGCGGGCACACAGTAAAGC